TTCTTTCTTTCTTTCTTTCTTTCTTTCCTTCCTTCCTTCCTTCCTTCCTTCCTTCCTTCCTTCCTTCCTTCCTTCCTTCCTTCCTTCCTTCCTTTCTTCCTTCCTTCCTTCTTTCTCTCTGTCTCTTTCTTTCTTTTTCTTTTTCTTTTTTTTTTTTCCGAGACGGTTTCTCTGTAGCTTTGGAGCCTGTCCTGGACTAGCTCTGTAGACCAGGCTGGCCTCGAACTCACAGAGACGCCTCCTGAGTGCTGGGATTACAGGCGTACACCACCACTGCCCAGCAGACAGAAGTTTCTTTTGCCTGAACTTTTTCTAAGTTTTTATCTGGGGAAACCAGAATTAGAATTTATGCTTTACTTCTGGCTGATTCTACTGCCCTATAATCGCTTATCTGAAAGGATAAATTAACTAGTCAGAGTTTATTGAGAGATGAGGTTTCACTTTGTGCCTCAGGCTGGCCTTGAACTTGTGATCCTCCTTTCTAAACCTCCCAAGTGGCAGGATTACTGGTGTGTGCTCCCATACTTGGCTGTCCTCAAGTGTTTTATGTTAGCATTTCTCATAGTGGGGAGAAATGAGCAAATGTAAATACGCTGGAGTAGTTTTTTTTGAATACACTGTGCTAGAGAATTGTAATAATGATTCTTTGGAGCAAAGGAAAAGTAATTAATATATAACCTGGATGTTTTTATGTGCTGTGGCAAGATATGGAAGGGTGTACCTCCTGGTTCCAGCTGTTGCCACGAGACTGTGTATCTTGTCTCATTTTTTAAAATACTTTATTTAACTTTATTTATTTATTTTTTTTTTTATGTGCATTGGTGAGAGGGTGTCAGATTCCCTGGAACTGGAGTTACACACAGTTGTGAGCCACCATGTGGATGCTGGGAATTGAACCCTGGTCCATCTGGAAGAACAGTCAGTGCTAACCCCTGAGCCACCTCTCCAGCCCCCTTGTCTCATTCTTTTTTTTTTTTTCCCCCAGAGCTGAGGACCGAACCCAGGGCCTTGTGCTTGCTAGGCAAGTGCTCTACCACTGAGCTAAATCCCCAACCCCACCTTGTCTCATTCTTGATATGCACTGTCCAGCAAATTGTTTAACTCTCTGATTTCTCAGGCTTTTGGTATCTCTAAAAGGTATCTGACAGCCAGGCATGGTTAGGTACTCCTATAATCCTGTCACTTGTTCAGGCAGGAGGATTACTCTGAGTTTGAGGCCAGCCTGAATTATACGATGAAACTCTCAAAATGGGGTGAGGTGAGGGCTACTGGATCGATGGCTCAGCGGTTATGAGCTCTTCCTCATCTTCAGACGACCCAAGTTTTATTCTCAGCACCCACAAAGGGTGGCTCATATCTGCCTGTAACTAACTCTTCTGGCTTCTGCTGGCACGTCCTTCCCAGTGTGCACAAACCGACACACAGACACATATACACATAACTAACAGAAAAAAAATTTTAAATGGTGTTCGTGGGTTAGAGATACCACACACAGCTAGAATGCTTGCCTGGCACATACACGGTTCACTGTCCCGTCTGCAGAAATGCAAAGATACTTGTAATCTTATATAAGTAATGTGTGATTTAGAACTGACCTTGTCAAAAGTGAAATAATAAATATATTCAGGTAATCCTGTCTTCCAAAGTTAGAAAGTTTTTTTTTTTTTTTTTTGGTTTTTCAAGACAGGGTTTCTCTGCGTAGCTTTGCGCCTTTCCTGGAGCTCACTTGGTAGCCCAGGCTGGCCTCGAACTCACAGCGATCCTCCTGACTCTGCCTCCCGAGTGCTGGGATTAAAGGCGTGTGCCACCACCGCCCGGCCCAAAGTTAGAAAGTTTTAAAACAGCAAATTGTATTACTGGGGCTGGAGAGATGGCTCAGTGGTTGAGAACACTGGCTGCTCTTCCAGAGGACCTGGGTTCAATTCCCAGCACCCACACAGCAGCTCACAACTGTCTGTAATTCCAGTTCCAGGGAATTTGACACCCTCACCCAGACATACATGCAGGCAAAACACCAATGCACATAAAATAAAAAATAAATTTTAAAAATTGTATATGTGTAGGGGCTGATGAGGTGTTACAGAAGATAAAGACAGGATTATTATGGCAGAACCTTTATGTTGAAAGACCCCCGCTCCATTATGAGGACATGGGGCTTTGGGCCAATGAAAT